TTGAACATGATTGAACTGAACCTGAACCTGAACTTGACCAAAGTTCGGTTTCAGTTCGGTTCATAGGAACACTAACTACCACGAAGGACAACGAAGATGGCTAACAAAGCAAGGATGATTTTTCTTGGTAAAAAATGAGATATTATACAAGAAAAATAAAAAGGCTCCAAAGAACCTGATAAAGGTGCTACAAGAAGGAGAATTAGAAACAATATTATCTCTAGCACACGATCATCCTTTAGGCGCCCATTTTGGAAAAGATATCATATTTAATAAGATCTGTGAGTATTATTACTGGCCTCAAATGTATAATGACATACTTGAGTATGTCAAAACATGCGAGAAATGCCAGATATATGGTGACAAAGATCAAAGAAACCACTCCACCCAATTCCTGTCCAAGCCCCATTCCACAGAGTAGGGATAGATATAGTCAGGCCATTACCTATTACACCATGATTAAATAAATATATCGTAGTAGCAACCGATTATATGTCTAAATGGCCAGAAGCCCGTGCAATTTTAAAAGCAAATGCAGAAGAAGTGACGAAGTTTATCTATGAGGACATTGTATGCAGACACAGATGCTCAAGCATCATATTGTCTGACCAAGGATTGCACTTTAATAATTACGTAATAGATGAGCTCTTAGCAGCTTTAAACACCAAGCACCACCTATCTATGCCGTACTATTCACAGACAAACGGTCTTGTAGAACACTTCAACAAAACTTTGTATAAATTGATATCAAAATTAATAACAAATATAACTGATTGGGATCTATTGATACTATCGATACTCTTCGCTTACCACACTGCAAAACAAGCCACAACCCAAGAAACACCATTTTATCTGATCTACAGGCAAAAAGCCCAATTGCCCTTGCATCCTAGTACTTCCGAGGACTTGTTGCATAATACGATCATCCAACAACTATATGAAATAGAGCATGATCTACCTGAAGCCCGTGATAGAGTGCTAAGCCAAATTAGTACAGAGCAACAAAAACAGAAAGAGTGTCACGATCGACAGCTCAAAGCCACTAGAGACTTTAAGATCAGCGAGAAAGTCTTAGTGCTAAACGCCAGGAATTTGGGAACACACAGCCATAAGTTAGAACCCAAATGGAAGGGACCATATTATATATACAATAATCTTCCAAATGGTACGTATAAGTTACGGGAAATAGGCAGCAAAGTACTGGTAGTGCCTGTGAATAAGACATTATTAAGGCCCTACTACGAGAGAGAAAGTCTATAAATAAGGCTAAAGATTCTGTTCTAACAAAGAAACAGCCATCAAATACAAATACAAAAATGGGAAACCTTAATTCTACCCAACGAATTCTTTATGATCTATCAATGGTTCTCTCTCTTGACGTTACACCCATACCATGCCCTTTCTCTCCTAAATAGTCTAGCTCTATACAAGCTACTATCGCCTACCAGAACATGATCCAGGCCCTAGCGTAAAAGATCATATTGAAGCCTAGCATACGCCTTTTACTTAGGATCTGTTTTGGCTCCCATGAATGGGGCTCTGCCCAACGACCTCCGGCTAGTAATTAGCAGGCATTATTAAACCGCTGCTACCAGGGTATATCGTTTATTCTAACATGATGGAGTAGAACAGATACAC